GGAAGGGTGGGGCAGCCGGCGGAAGGGTGGGGCAGCCGGGGCTGTCCTGGAGGTCCCTCCTGCGGCCGAGCCCCACTCCCCGGGATACCGGCTGCTTTCACCTGCCCCCCCCACCCGCCGAGGCTTCTCCCCTCCCTGCAGGCAGCGGCTCGACGACGGTCTTGGCTGGCAGTGGCAGAGTGCCCGCCAGGGTGGTGGGTGAGGGCGCCTGGGGGTGCGGTGCGCTTCAGGGCGGGTCTCGGCAGCTCCTCCCCGCTTCCGCCCCCTCCCAGGGCGTTCTAGAGCGCGGCCGGCCCTCCTGCCTAGAGAGAGAGAGACACCGCCCTAAGGCGCAGCCGTGTCCAGGTTGAGGAAGAGGCTTCCAAGTTGCTGGCTAGGCACGCCGGCGGCTGCCCCTGCCTCTCTTCCCGCGCCCTAACGGCCGGCTTGCGCTCTAGGCAAAGGCCTAGTTCGCCTAGCGGGCGAGCCGGCCGTGCATGGTCTAATCTCTGCCATTGTCTTGTCATATGACCTCGACCAAGTCACTTTCTCTTTCCACAGTTCTTTTTCTTCTTTCTCCAGTCCTACAGTCTAGCAAACTGATGTTTTCTTTCTTTAAAAGATTTATATCCTACCTTTCCATAAAACAAGTTCAAAGTGCTGACCTTTTGATTTGGAAATCTGAGTTATCAACCCTGCATTAAAATCATATTTACCAGCACCCAATTTTATTCAATTTACAGCAATGGCCATTTATATACATTACTGTACCACTTAACAAGCACATTCATTACACTGATAGGTCAACACCACAACAAAATGATATATACAGAACCACAGGGCTTTCAGAGATCCAAAGTTCAACTAGCGCAGCTGCTTGACACAGGGTAGGATTCTCCATGGAACAATACGCTGTTATTTACACCTCACCGTCTGATCATGTGTGCCTTGGGCAGCTTCATTCAGGAAAGGTGGCATAAAAATAACTAAATCCTTACCAAAGATATTAAAATCCTTCTAGGTTCATTTGATTATAATGTACCACAAAAAGGGAACAAGAATAAAGAAGGCACACCCATTAAAAAACTACATAGGCATTTTAAAGTTTATTCAGTAAAACAGATACTATTAGCTAACACAAGTCGCCCAAGCAATCCACGATAGGGTAAAAAACAACACTGACTATTATTCATTCTCTCTCATAATCCCCTCCTCACTCTCCCCTGCAGAAAAACTGGAAAGATTTCCTGTTTTGATAAGCAGCTTTTTGAAACTTCAGCTTACCCAATCAAAATCTCCTTTCCTCCCCACTTTGCTGATTTATTAGAGGCTGATTCACATTACTTCATACATGATCAAGCGCTTTTTCTTCCCAGCTTACACTACACATGGTGCAAACAGGGCATCACGACCATTTTACCAAGCACCAATTTCCCTGACTCAGTGTAAGCACTGCTGTGCAAAACGACACACTGTTATGAATACAGACAACTTATTTACAACATACAAAGTACAACCCAGTCTGGGGAAAAGAAGAAACTGTGCTTGAAGTGGTTGTATGATTTTGCCTGGCGTATAACAATTTACAAACATCCCTGGGAAAGACATTACTTATACCAAAGTTTATGAAGTTTTAGTTCAATGGTTGGGCTGAGTCTCAAATAGACGCATTTGTTTTCCCGAAACCGGTTCCTCTGGTTTAGCCAACTTCAGTGTTTAAAATAGCTATAGATGGAAGAAACACGCTGCTTTAGAGCAGCAGGCACACATACAGGCAGGATGTGGCATTACAGTGAGAGACCTGAAAGATACAAGGTACTAGTGCACTTGTAGAGTGCATTGTGTACTCTCAAAAACAGATGCCAGGACCTGTATTTGCAGTACTTTTATACATCTGAACTATCTTGGCAATAAGGTAGCTTGACTGGGGAAATTGGGTGTATGTTAGACACAGAAACAGAGAATTCACTGACCTGGCAGGATTTAAAGCCAGCTAAGCATTCCAGAGCCCATGCAGTGCAGCACTGCAAGGGAGATGCAGGGTCAAGATGAAGTTACAGGTTTATGTACAGACTGCAATATCCATCTTAATTTACTGTCTTCATCTCAAATATGTAGAGAAAGGTAGATGACAGCCTTACTTTCTCCAAGGCCACATACTCCTGCCTACATTAATGGGAATTAGTTCCCTCCTTCAGGCATCATAACAGCCACAGAGAGGTCAAGGGATTGTAAGGGGGAATGGATCGTCTTTGCTCTTTCTCTATATACTTAAACAAACTGGGAATCCTAACCCAAGTCTGTATTTTGCAGTCACGGCCAGTGAAAGAAGTTATTTCAAAATAATTAGCATTATACTGTGTGATGTTCCACACGTGGCTTTAGAAATCCAGGCCCATAGCTGAACCCCCCGACTTACCACCCAGGCCTCCCGACTTCCCAACCAGCTGGTTTATTTTATTTTTCGTGAGGGCCATAACCACATTGTGCCAAGCCGTTGCCCTGCCTACTGGCAGTGAACCTCTGGCTAACTGCAGGTGAGGCACGCCACAGGGCACATCAGCTCCCTACTCCCGGGGGTGTGCAGGGGTGCCCCTCGACATTTAAGTGCCTCCCAAAGTCAAAAGTCCTGGCTATGGCCCTGTAGAAACCTCTCATTGGTGCTGATTAAGAAGGTTTTTCCAGCACAGACCCTCTCCAGCATTAACACTCGCTCACCAAGATAGTATTTAGTCCAGCTGCCCTGCTCCCAAACAAAACAGTGATGCAGGGAAGGCAAAGAAACCCAGATCTGAGTCAGATTCCTTCCTCTTTGTGTGAGCAGATGTCAGAAAGGCTCTCAGTAGGGCCCTTGATGACTTGGGCTTCTGCTCAAAGTTTTCAGAACTGGCCTTATAGCCTCAGGATGTTCTGGGAGCTATCTACCTATAACAGGGGAAACAAAGTCCAGTGGCACTTAAAACATGACACTTATTTCAATATGAGCTTTCATAAGTCATTTATGTTCTGTTTTGCTATGACAGACAAACACGGCTACAATGATTGAAAATAGGCCTAACTAGTTTTGGTTCTTATCATGACTGGGTCTCTTTTGCACCTGCCTATGCATTTCACTTTAATTAGAATGCGCAGCAATCAGCATAGCATGTAAGCATATACAGGCAGACAGTATTAACATATGCAAATCAGGAAATTGTTTCTCTTTCTGGGGAAAGTAGAAATCCTAGTCACCTGCCCACAGCAATCCCTTGCTTCTGCCTAAACGCAACAATGCTCTAGTGTACAAGAGCGGGGGGGGGTGGGAGATGTAGTTCTAGAGTCCCTCGAGGGTTCAGGCAAAGTGCCCGTGTCGGGCCCTGGCTGGCAAAGAACTTCAGATCGCACGGGCTGCTGACTGACAGAGCCAGTAGCAGCAGAAGGAATCGTAACACAACCCCCTTCGCAAGAGTCACCTCCTCCGAGGCGACCCCACTTTGCGCGCGCGCGCGCACCCCCCACCCCCCCGGGAAATTTATTGTAGCTACTAACAGACTTCAGAGAGACGGCCGCGATCTTTCACGAACGCCTCTCAGGAATGAATGGCGGCGAGTAGCACCAGCTTAACTGGCACCTCTCGTCGTCTTCTACCCTAGTGTGGAACGCCTGACTAGTCAGCATCGATACCGGATCGGCGGAGCCCGATCCCCACTGACCTGCCCGGCAGCTTCGCGCTCCGCTTCCAGAACTGCTTACTGCTTTCCGCAGCCATGGCTGGAGCCGGAGATCGAGTCCCCCACCAGCTCTGTGGGTGAAGGGACAAGCCAGAGCGGTGGGCCCCTGTAGGAGCCTCGGGCCGAGGCCGCCTCACCGCCTCCCTCCAGGGGCCCCGTAGCTAGTCCCCTCTACCGCCATCTTGGTTCCGGGCGGGTGCAGCCCAACGATTGGCCGCCTGGTTGAGAATTTCCAAGGCTGACCAATCCTGAGCTAAGTTCCTGAAGGAAGGCGAAGCGGGATGGGGGGCGAGGAATCAGGAGCCTGGCAGAACTCGAGAGGCGGGATAATTCCATGTAGAGAGCGGAGGAGGGGCAGAGAAGGGGGGAGGAAGCCACGTGCAGTTCGTGAACGGGAAAGCGGGAAGGCGGTTAAACTGTCAAAAGTGGCCGCGTTTAGCGAAGAAGGGGGAGGAAGAGGCCTCTGCGCATGGAGGTGGAGACCGAAGCCGTCTGTCTCCGTAAACATCCTGGCGACTATTAATTTGCTTAATCGTTCGTATTCTTCTCATCTAAAAACTGTAGGAGCCATCTCAAAAGGCAGTTTTGCTGTGAAGACATACACCTCCCTGCAGTTCTGGAGTTACTCAGGTAGCACCTTCAATCCTGTTCAGGCTTCCAAGGAAGTAAGCCACCCCCCCCCCCTTAATGGGACAAATGAATATACTTAGGGCTGGTGAGTGTCACCAAACATTGGGCTTAGGTTGCTTAAATTTCAGCGAAAGTGAAGGGGGGGGGGGGTTAGAGAAGCATCAGCAGACACACTCAGTACAGTTGCCTATATGTTATAGGTTCAAATAGACATAAGTCTACTTTTTTTCTTCATTAAATGGCCTGCCTGTTAATTTCTGTTTATTTCTAAGTTTTGTAGAAGATGCTGAGTAACCACTTCAGTAAACAAAGGCCTCAGATTGTTTAGATTGTTATGGCAGCCCTTTTCCCCTAAGGGGAGATATAAAGAAAAGGCATCTCTCTGCAACAAAAGGGAGTTGAGACTTACTTTTTCTGCAAGTGAAATTGGGAATTATAACATATTGATATAACAATATTAAATTGCTGGTAAAAAACTGACAAAGCTATGAGGGGGTGGGTGTGGGGAAATGGCTGCCGCCAAGGGGATGGGGGCAGGGAAATAATGTGGAATGCCAAAAGGGTTGTTGCATTGTAGCAATATGAAATAGAAGTCCAGTGAAAGTCCCATAATAAATCTTTCAGGTGTGATTCTCTGTGTAAGGGACCGGAACAGGTTGAGTTATAGCATATGATGGATGATGGGATGGGTCAAAGGTTCCCACTTCTCTCTCCAAGGGTGCAGATAGACAAAATTATATATGTAGGATAAACATCTAATCTGGAAAGGAGCCATTTGAATAATAAGTAAATTAGTTGACATCAGTTAAGGGTTATATTATGTTATATGTTAAGAAAGGACAAAGTTTCTAAAAAGTGAGTCCTGTTGAACTATTGGAAATTACAATGACTGGGGAAATTCAAGTCTCTGTTTAACCCAGGATGTAGAGTAGTATTTAGTTTCTTAATGAGTTCTAATTCAGCACTTTCACTTTGTAGATCTGCAGCATTGCATTCAGGAAGATTAAAAAGTTCCCTCACTGGTTTCTGAATATTATTTCTTATGTCAGGTTTGTGTTTATTGATTCTCTCACATAGGAACTGACATATTTGTCTGGTGTAGATAGTAGATTGGCATTGTTGGCACATGGTGGTGAATATTAAATTGTATGATATGTAAGTGGATGAGCACAAGATGGTGTAGCTGATGTTATTAGGTCCTGTAATAGTATACCTAAGTGCATGTGGGGACAAACTTGGCATCTAGGTTGACTGTAGAGTTTGGTTCCTGGCTTTGTGTCTCTGTTGGTTGGTCCATGGTTGTACATGAGATTTTTTTAGCAGAATATAATAAAACTATGGGGGCCATGTGAAAGCTCTGTTGCTGCTGTACAATAGTGGAAGCCACAGCAGCAGTGGGGAAATTACACATGCCTATTCCTGTGTGAAAAACACATATAGCTAGGATTGTGGCTTGGAAGTGGTTTTATATTCAGTTGCCCTCCCCCCCTCCTGTTGGTGCATTAGGGCATTTCCCTCTAGGAGTCTCAAATTTGCCTTTACCTTAATATATCTAGAATGTGAAAGTAAAATCTACATTCACTTTTAAAAGGGCTCTTTGTGTTCCATTTTGCACTGACAATATTCATGCATAGTGAGAAAGATTAAAAAGCACTTTTTAGGGCTAAACTAAACATTGTTTGTTTAAAAACAAGTCTACCACTTGTTTACAGATGGGGGAGGGGAAAGTTTCAATTTCTAGAGCAAGTAGATTGTGGAGTATTTGTTTTCCCTTACCTTTGACTTCTCCTTGCCATCTCAGCACCCCCTCCCTGGCAGTTGGCTGATTTAACCAATTACATCCATCTCATCTGCTATCTTCCTGAGCAACAGTAACAAGGACCCTGATCCCATAACAGCTGCAGGAATCTTAGTTCCCATTTTCTTGTCTTCCTCTCCACTTAAGAACTTGCCACCTTCTTCAGTGATAAAATTGAAACAATCTAATCTTTCACCCACCATTTTGTTCCTCTTTCACCAGTCCCTGATTTGTGTACTTCTTTCAGTCCTTTCATCTCCTCCCCCCATCTCACTTGGTGAGTTAACTGCCCTGTGACCTTTTCTAATCCTGATTTCCTTTTCCTCCAGGCTCCCAAAGCATGTTGTTTACAACAGCTGTCTAGGGTTGCCAGCATCCATGAGCCTGGAGATCAGTTCCCCTGGAAAAAACAGCTGCTTTGGAAGGTGGACTCTATAGCATTATACCTGCTGAGGTCCCTCCCCAGGTGACACCACCAAATCTCCACAAATTTATCAGCTTTTAACTGGCATCCCTGCCATGCTGTCCTAACTTCATCCTCCAATTCCACACTTAATTCCCTACAATTTGGTTGTGGGCTGCACTCTGTAGTCCATCAAAATTGCTCTCATCATAATCAGTGATATCCTTCTTAGTGCCAAATCAAGAAGTCTCTCCTCATTCTCCTTCAGCTCTTTCCCACGCTTCCAGCTGTCTATTCCCCCTCTCTCTTTCAGGGGACCTCAGGGAACTGTCATTGGCCCTGTTCTAGTCTCTCTCTGCACACTGTCCTGGGCTGATGTTATTAAATCCTGTGGCTTTCAATACCATTTATACATCCAGCATTACCTATCTACCTTCTATGTCCCTTGAACGTACTCACTTTCTCCAGTCCTGCATCTATGATTGCCTGTCTTCTACTTTGATGTCTTACTGTAGTTTCAGTCTGTCCAAGGTTGAGCTTTTGATTGCTTCTCTAAAGCCTCTCTCTCCTAGTACAGGGTTGGATCCCCCCTTAATTACCAAGAGTGCAAGGAAGGGGAGTTTCACAACCCCCCTCCCAGCTATTCCTGAGAGTACCCCAGAAGCAGCATTTCAAGGGGCATTTTGGGCTGTCATCAGAAGGAAGAATTGCCAAAAATTGTTCCGCACCTTGTGCCCATGGCAATCTAAACAGGATCTAGCCCATAGTCTCTATATTGATTGTCAGTGTCAGTATCATTCCTGTTGAAGAATCAAGAAAGCTTTGTCTTTAACTCTTCTCCAGATTCAGTTCATTGCCAAGTCGTACTGCTTCTCCCTTTACAACACTGGCAAAACATGGCCCTTTCCCAATGAAAACTCTGATCCGTGGTCTGATTGTCACTTGCTTGACTACAGCAGTCTTCTGCACTCTGGTTTTCCATCGTGATTGCTCAGCCCCTTATCTCTTACTGGCATTCTACCATCAAAGTCATTTACCACACTGGCATTCTACCATCAAAGTCATTTACCTTTCTCATTGTTCTGTGAGACCCCTCCTTGAATCTTTACATTGGCTTCTTCCTGCCCATTCCCAGATCCAGCATGATCTCCTCATCCTTACCTTCACACTTCCCTTATCTCTTTGCTCTTACTTCCCAATACAAGCAGCAGGCTGTGACAGCTAGACTAGATGGGAGGGCATGTAAGCTCTGCACCACTTGTCCACATTGCTACCCAGTCCAGTCACTGCCATGCATACTGGAGCCCAGCTGTATCAATCAAGCTGGGTGAGAAAGTCCCACCCTCTATGGGACAACAACATTCAGCTTTTTCCCTAGCATCCACAAGCAGTAGCAGGTCATCCGCAAAAAAAAACAAAAACAAGTCCCTTTGGAATCGCCACTTCAAAGTTGTTACAAAGGCAGGATACTTTCCCCATATAAGTAAGATTGGCTCCGGTCACACGGCAAAGTTGCCGCGGGAGAGGCATGGATGGTGGGCGGATTATCCGGGTGCGATCACACCCCAACATCTGGGAAGTGGAGCACACCCGTGGCTTACCACCAACAATGCGCCTAGTAAACGTTTGCCTCCAGACGCCCGTGGTGTGATCGCGCTGGCGCACGGCATTTCCCTCCGGTCCCTCGTTTACCCGCCGGCGCCAAGGAGAGAACCCGTGGTGTGCTGCCGGCGCGTCTGATCGCGTAATCGCGCATCAAACTGCACCGGGGCAATTAGCCACGCCTCCCCCCGCGATATCCGGCCTGTGTGACCGGGGCCATTGTGACATTAATTGGTGATGAGTATGTGGAAGGGTTGAGGAGGGTTGCCACACCCTTGCTAAATGGAGGGTATTTGGCAGTTGGTTATTTCCTTGTTTTTGTCTCTGATATATATAAGTGACCCTGACCTGAATGGCCCAGGCTAGCCTGATCACTTTAGATCTTGGAAGGTAAGCAAAGTTGGCCCTAGTTAGTACTTGGATGGGAGATGGCCAACAAAGTCCAGGGTTGCTACACAGAGGCAGGCAATGGCTACCCACCTCTGTTTGTCTCTTGTCTTGAAAACCCTATGGGGTCACCATAAGTCAGCTGTAACCTGATGGCACTTTCCACCATCTTATTTGAGTGAAACCTATTTTTCATTGTTCCTTACATTAATTTTATTTACATTAGAGAAGATTATATTTGGCCTATTTTATGTTGCAACTGCCTATTGTTTTATTTGTCTTTGTGGCCAGGGATGAT